CAAAAACGGCCATCAATAAGCCCTCTTTTTTGCATTTTTCTGAGCTACATCCTCCTAAAAAGTACAATAGACGCAAAACAAAAGAGTTTTTTTCTGGGTATACAACCCCGAATTGTAAGAATTGACACAGCTGCACTGAGTGTGCGGAATCACCCCCAATGTCGCAGATAACTCGCGAAAAGCCGGCCAAGAAGCAGCCACAAAGAAAAAAGAGAAAAAAGGGAAGATATATTTTGCTTGGACAGGCAAACACAATAGATGTGCTGTCAGGCTGTACATGGAGCAAGAGGGCCGGTGGTGTAGTGTAACAAATTGCGTCCGGACGTAAGAAGGAGTGGTTCGATTCCCTTCCGGTCCAAAACAATTTTCGAGAAAGGAAACTCAATGACGCTGTTCACGACGCCAACCATTAACATTACTAAATTGATATCCTTGCGGTCCTGGCATAGTTGAATGAGATGGATTGTTGTTATACCGTGTGTAATCGGTGAGTCAAGGAAGCCAAGCACCGGACTATTAAATAGAATCGTTAATATGTTAGCATGAATGGTTCACTATTCGATGATTCTCCAAATTTCTGATTCATTACGTCAGAAAAGACTAACAACAGATAGTAAAGATGCGGTGTGGAGCGAATCGGCAGCACGCTTTCTTCGTTCCCTCGGTGCTTCAACAAATTCTGCTCAGATATTAAACATTATGATCTTATCACAATTTTATTAATGCCTATCAAAATATCGGAGGGCTTTTTTCTTTTTCTCCCAATGGCTTTTTTTCCGTACCAGCTCTGTTTTCGAAAATTGCACAAATTTGGGAAATTTTTTAAAAATTGTGCATAAAACTTTTTTTTAGATAAATCCGAAGCATTTGTGGTGAAATTGTGGAACGAAGCGTATTTTTTGCAAAAAAGAAAAAGTTTGTGAGATATGGAAAGATATGAGCCAAAAAGGCAAAATTTGCAAATTTTAGGTTTTTACTTGAACAAAAATATTCTTACCATCATCACTCGCATTCGATTTTCCATCATCGGACGGCGGATCAACAGTTATTGATGGCACCTGAACAAACATATATTCCAGTTCTTTGTTTTCTTTAAGAAATATAGCATGCTTGTCACCGGATGGTTGCTGATAAGTACAAATTTCACACACATCAATGTCCTACATCAATGTCCTCTCCACATTTGCTCCCGGTAAGAGCTAGAAGCACTCAGGAAGTAGCCCGACTAGTAGTAAATGCCAATAGCAACCATCCTGCTGGCAAGGTTGTTGATGACTTCCTCTTTCGAGTGTTGCTTACTCGCGAACTGATGGCGGATTCAGCTTCCTGGAATATGCCAGTACCAATTTTACCATCGAAATGAATGAACGGATTGTAAAAGGGTACTTCGATCAGCTGTAATATATGAAAATATACTAATATATATCAAGGATGTCAAGAGCTCTAGGACAATCAACATGGGATTAGCAATATTATGGTTTTACACGTCAGAAAAAACAAAGGTATGATATGATTCTTTTTTACCGACAGCATGACTATCACAATATTTGGTTTCGTTTGGTTCCAGTAAAATGACCGATCAGACAACTCCGGAATTATTTTCGGCTTTAGGTAGTGCACCTTCGTGTCAGAAATGGAGGCTCTGCTATGGGGGTCATTTGGCCAGTAGCTACTTTCTAGGCGCATAAACTGAAAACGTTTCATAGTATCCAATCGTAACTTTTACAGGTACTACTTCTTATATCGTATACGAGCAAAATTGCTGAATTTTTACGTATGGTTAAATCTGGGTAGCCGCCGCTAGGGTGCAGATTATGAACTCAGCTTTATCCAAGAATTGAGAATTTAGTTCTCCATTCCATACCACTTTTTTACTACCACACCATAGTAATTATTTTGA